ATGAGCTGTGGGGAAGGGAGGGAGGGCAGGGCTGGGCCACAGCCACAGACGGGGTGCAGGGACATGGAGGGGGAGGGAGGGCAGGGCGGGGCCGGGCTGCGGCCACAGACGGGGTGCAGGGACATACCTCGTCACGGGACACAGAGCTGATTTCTGCAGCCAGGGACTCGGAGAAGGCGGTGGAGAAGAGGCTCTTGGCACCCTGAATGCTGAGGGTGATGATCTGCCCATTCAGCTCCTCGTTCTGCTCCTTCAGGCTGCGGTTGTCCTGGGGGACGGCACATGTCACCGTTGGTGTGGCCTTGCAACTGGCGGGGCCAGGGCAGCCAGGTAGGCCCTCCAGCCCTGCGCTGGCCCCCAGGCGCCCCCACAGCAGCGGCCGTCAGTGCCTGCGGGGAGGGTCGGGGTGGGCGCACCTGCCTCAGCCTGCGGACTTCCTGCTCCAGCTCGCTCTTGCGGGTGCGGCTGTGGTACTCCTGCAGCCCGGCGCTGCTGCTGCGGCCCCGCCTCTGCTCCGCGTCCAGCTTGAAGAGCTGCAGGTGCTCCAGCTGCTTGCGGAGGTCCTCGATCAGCTGTCATGGCAACACGGCATGGTCAGCTCCGCCCGCTTTAGGGCCTCTGGGTTGGTCTGGTCACCGTCTCGTGGGAGGCCCCATTGCCGAGCCACCACAGACTACGGCCCGGCCATGTGAGTGTTCAAGAAAACATGGGCTCTCTGTGGTTTCCCCGCGGGCCAGCGGCCCTTGGTCTGCTGCATGGGTGGGGCGAGGGGCGCTGGTGCCCAGGCCTCACCTCCTGCGTGGCCTCCTTGTCTCTCTGGAACTGGTGCCTCTCGTGGCTCAGCCGGTCGCCCAGCTTCCTCTTGCCCTCTTGCTCCTCGCTGAGCCGCCGTGTCAGCTCCTCTATCTCACCCAGCAGCTTCTGCTTCTCCTAGAAACCCCACACCTGGTGGGTATGCGCCCACACACCCCGTGGCCGGGTGCGACGGCACCGCGCTGGGGCACACGTGGGCTGAGGGCGGCTGCTCATGGCGGCACGGGAGGCCTCTGCACGGGACCTCGCCCGGTGGCTGTGCCGGCTCCAGCCTGGCTCTCTGATTCACAGGAGCCAGGACCCAAGTGGCCTTGGTCTTACACCCTCCCAGAGGATGCTTGGTGAGGGAAGGAGGCAAGGCCTTGCAGTGACCAGGGGAGTGGGAGTCCCACGTGCTGCCTCTCTGTGCCTGCAGAAGCAGGGCACATGCCTACCCCCTAGGGCCCTGGGTTAGTCTGAGAGTCAGGCTCTGGACCCCACAGTCCTGAGTCTGCAGGACAGCAGATCAGGCGGGCCGGCCCCCACAGGGGTACTGCGGGGCCAGGTGTGGTTCACCTTGCTCTTCAGAGCACCTCCTCAGCCAGATGCCACCCTGCCTTGGAGACCAGACCAGTACACCGTCCCCTTGTGTCGGCACCCTGGAGGGCCTGGCCCGACCTGCCCTGCAGCTCATGTGGGCACTCACCTCCTCCAGGCGTGCGATGCTGGCCTTCAGGCAGGGCGTGCAGGACCGCAGCTCGCCATTCTCTTCATCCAGCTGCTGCAGCCTGCAACAAGGGGAAGCGGGCCTCTGGTGCTCACTGGTGCCCACAGCCAACTCCACAGCCCTACGCAGGGCTTTTCCATGACCGTGACAGCACAGGCTGAGTTTGGGGGTCACTCTGGTGTGCAGAGCTGCTGTAGACAACCCCATCGTGCCTGTCCCAGCTTGCCCTTGGTGACTGCCACCCTGCCCTGGGGTGCCATGTGGCCTTCCAGCCACAGCAGTGTACCCACGGCATCCTCACGGCTCCTCTCTGCTCACAGCTGTCCCCCAGACTCTCCCACTTTCTCAGAGCAGTGGCAGTTGGGAGCAGCCCTGCTCGTGTGTTTGGAGAGTGCCTTCAGATCGGGTCTGTGTGGCACCTGTCTCCAGACGAGGCAAGCAACTGCAAGGCACGCCCCACACGTGGCACTACCGAGCCCCAACTGTGCTTCCGCCCTAACTGCCTTGCCACCAAGATGCACTCAACATGCAGCTCTCCCTGGCTGTTTTCCCACCTTTCCTGACTGATGTGCGGTTTCACCTCCAGACAGGTATGACAGCAATCTTCTCAAAGTTCCCTTAGAAAGATTGGCACCAGGGGTTGGACAGACCTGGAGACTGGAATGTGCCCAGTCGTCTCTGAGCTCAGGTCTCACGTGGCCTTTGGAGAGCCAAGGGCTTCCTCCCACAGTGGCCCAGGCTGTGCCCACCCAGCCTGCAGGCTCTGATCGTGATGCCCCGATGCCCACCCACCAGGCCTGCAGGCTGATGGCGATGCCCTGATGGCCGTCCAACAGGCCCGCAGGCTCTGATCGCGATGCCCTGACGCCCTCCCACCAGGCCTGCAGGCTGATCGCGATGCCCTGACGGCCGCCCACCAGGCCCACAGGCTCTGATCGCGATGCCCCAACGCCCACCCACCAGGCCTGCAGATTCTGATCACGATGCCCTGATGCCCTCCCACCAGGCCCGTAGGCTCTGATCACGATGCCCTGACGCCCACCCACCAGGCCTGCAGGCTCTGATTGCCATGCCCTGATGCCCACCCACCCAGCCTGCAGGCTGATCGCGATGCCCCAACGCCCGCCCACCAGGCCCGCAGGCTCTGATCGCGATGCCCCGACGCCCGCCCGCCCAGCCTGCAGGCTCTGATCACGATGCCTGCCCACCTGGCCTGCAGGCTCTCAATTGCGATGCTCTTCTCTCTCTCCATCTTGCACAAGAGCTCCTTTTGCCTCCGAGACTCTGCCAGGACCATCTCACAGGCCCTCAGCTCCTGTTCCTTCAGTTGCTCCTCCAGGGCGTTGGCTCTTATGAGAACAGGGGAGGACATGAGTGGCTCACAGGCTGCTGTGGCCATGGTACACCAGGACCGCGACAGGGCCTACCCTGCCTAAGCAGGGAGCACACCCCTGCCCTGACGAGGGCTCCCCGGGTCCACTCTGGTCACCTCACAGTGCAGACAGGGTGCATGTAAGCAGGACTGCAGGAAAAGGGGCATGCCCCCAGGGGCCCTGAGACCCGGCCCTTCCTAGACCACCATGACCATGACCACCTGCAAGAGATAGGGAGTGATCACCCAAGGGGACTACTGGCCCTGCCCAGGGGTGTGGCAAAGCCCAGACCTCAGCCTGTCTATGCTCGGATCTGCTCACCTCCGGGTGCCTCATGGGCAACCGTGAGCACGCGGCCAAAGACCACCAGACACCACAGGAGGCCTTACCGCAAAGTGGCCAAAGCGGCTTCACCCTGACCCTGCTCCAGGTGGTCTGGAGCACTGAGGCGAATCACGACACCTCTGCAAGCCTGGCACTGCAAATGGTGTGGAGTGAGGGCCATGGCCTGTTGCCTGCGCGGCCCGGGCACCCGCTGTGTCCTTCCACCACAGCCCTGGCACCGAGGACAGGTGCGGTCCTGGCGCTGCACACGAGACCGGCTCTGCTGTGGGTGCGGAAATTCACGGAGAAACGCGAATGGAAGTGGAGACGTGGGAATCAGCAATTTTGCACAGGAAGCCTTGGGAGGTGCTGTTGATTGTACTCTGCCTGAAGTTGGAACCAAACGGAACCAACGAGGAGTTCGGTGCTCTGCAAAGTGCGAGAGCGGCTGGCGAGCTCACCCTCCTGTCAGGAGGACAGCGTTTGCAGGAGATCCAGGACTTGTCAACAAATCTTGCTATGAAGATGGTTGGCTGACACTGAGTAACCCTTCAGAACTAGGTGGACTAAGGGGTGAAGAAGCCGATGAAAAATACGACAGTGTACTGAGTGAAAGTAGAACTTTAAATAAAGTACTGAAGGCAACTTAATCCAGGACAGTTGTAAATCAGTGGTTGAGAGGAGACTTAAAACTGCAGCTTTCAGCAAGACCCGTGGAAAGAGAAAGTGCCCTGAACACCACTGCCGGAGAGAAACTCCTTTGTACTTTCTAGGGATCTTATTCTTAATACACAGAAAATGCATCTTTCTCATCATATTCTGTGATTATTAGTTTAGGCTCAAGTATTCGGAATTCATGAAATTATCTGTGATAAAAACTAGTTATAAAAATGATGCAATTAGTGGGAACCAGCAGTTAGCGTAATGGCTATGTCGCTGGACTCCCACGTAGTCGACCGCGGTTCGCGTCCCGGACCCGGTGACTTAAAACTCACGCCGGGCGCGTGTGCGTGCATGCCCAAGATCCCGAGAGGAGAATGGAGGAGAAGGGATTGCAGCGTGACCATCCCCCCTGGGGGGTGATTTCTCGCTTTCTGTCTCTATGTCT